CCGCCTGTCCCTGCGCAGACATTTCGTGTCAATGCAGCGGCACCCTGTGTGGCCCGTGTGGCTTCTCCCACGTACCAGAAGCTTTTCCAGGGCCTCTGCCCGCAGCGTGTGCCCCCGCGTCATTCCTTTGGACGGCCGAAGTGTCATCGCATGAATGTCCCGCATTTTGTGCATCCACGCACCAGCGATGGCTCTCGGGGTGTCTGGAGGTTGGCCGTTGGGGATGTGGCTGCTCTGGACACTCGGGTGCAGGTCTCTGTGTGGACGTGTCTGCGTGTCCCTGGGCGTGTGGCCACTGAGCGTCGCTGTTTCAGGAACGTCCACTTTTCCACGCACAATGCCCTCGGCTGCCGGGAGGCACAGGTGCCAGCGTCTCCACCGACCCCTGTTACTCTCTGGCTTTGTGACCACGGCCATTCACTGTGGTTTTGACTTGCAGTCCCCGCGTGCGTTCACCTGTCACCCAGCACCTGCGCCCACACACTGTTCATCTTTGTCCCCAGGGCAGTCCTGGGGACATTTTGTGTAAATGCAGTCAGACCCTGTGTGTCCTGTGTGTCTGGCTTCATCACAGCAAAGGCATCCCCATGGTGGCAGCGTGTCCCAGAAAGACAGCGTGTCCCATGAGAGACAGGAGGCCAGGACAGAGGGCGGGACTCTGAGCACCTTTCTCCTGAGAACGCGTCCCCAGTGACCTCCCAGGAGACTCCACTTCTTAAAAGTCCCAGTACCTCAGCGTTGCCACCCTGAGGACCCAGTCTGCCGCATGGGAACTTGGGGACAGATGTATCTGTGCTGTAGCAGGGAGCGGGCGCCTTGGGTGCCAGCAGAGGAGCAGTGTCGCCTACTTTGCTGGACTCGCGAACACACCTGCCCCAGGTGAGCGCAGCATCATCTCCCTCCCGCTCCACGAGCCCACAACCCCCGAGGGGCTTCAGAGCTGCCCCACAGCTTCTGGGCACATGGCCAGGTAGCCACTCCCCCACTCCTGCATCCCTCCCTGCGGCCTCTGAAGCAATGTCACATCCCAATGGACCTCACAGCGGTGGCCAGCCCCAGAGGCCATGGGTGTTCACACTCAGCTTCCTGGAATGGGTGCAGTGCAGGCCTCAGGAGGGACAGCTGCTGTGGCTGAAGGGACCCAGCCTGGGGGACACTCCTGGGACCGAGAAAGGGCTGTCCCTGTCCTGACTCCTGGTCCTGGACCCCTGACCCCACAACCCACTGTGAGGCTGTTCCGCAGTCTTGAGTGGCCTTGCCGTCCTTATTTTGCTATTTGTGAAATTTATACAATAGAAAATCAACCTTTGGGCTGGGGATGTGGCTCAAGCAGTAGCGCGCTCGCCTGGCATGCGTGCGGCCCGGGTTCGATCCTCAGCACCACATACAAACAAAGGTGTTGTGTCTGCTGAAAACTGAAAAATAAATATTAAAATCCTCTCTCTCTAAAAAAAAAAAAAAAAAACTCTTAAAAAAATAAAAAAGAAAATCAACTTTTTCTTTTGTGGTGCTAGGGATTGAACCCAGGGTCCCACACATGCCAGGCAAGTGCTCTCTTTATTTATTTATTTTATTTATTTAGACTCAGGGTCTCTCTGAGTCACCAGGCTGACCTGGAACTTGCTATCCTCCTGCCTCAGCCTCCGAAGTCGCTGGGATCACAGGCTGCACTGCTGCACCCAGGAAATTGACTCTTCAAGTGGATAGTTCAGCAGCACTTAGTGCCTGCCCACGGCTGGCCACCACCCAGAAGGACACTCAGTATTATTGAGCCGTCATCCCCATCCCTCTCCTCCAGCCCTGGCAACCGCCAATCTGGTTTTTCTTTCTGGATGTGTCTACTTTGGATATTTCATATAAGTGGAATCACAGAATGCGACATCATTGGGTCTGGCTTCTTCCATTTAGCAAGATTTTGAGGCTCAGCCCTGTGGTGACATGTCTCAGTGCCTCATGTACAGGGTCTTGACTATGGCCGTGGCTTCATGGCACATACCCATGATAGAACACGACAAATCATCCTGTAAAAAGTTCAGTCTAGGGCAGGGGTGTGGCTCAGTGGTAGAGCTTGCCTCTCATGCATGAAGCCCCGGGATCGATTCCCAGGACCACAAAAAACAAAAAAGTTCAAGGCCGGGCACACCTGTAATCCCAGCAACTCAGGAGGCTGAGACAGGAGGATCCGAAGTTCAAAGCCAGCTTCAGCTAGGACAAGGCGCTAAGCAACTCAATGAGACCTGTCTCTAAATAAAATACAAAATAGGGCTGGGGATGGGGCTCAGTGGTCGAGTGCCCCTGAGTTCAATTCCTGGTACCCTGCCCCCCCCCCCAAAAAAAAAAAACCCAAAAAGCAAAAAAGTTCAGTTTGTTGCACGTGAATTATACCTCAGAAAAGTTGGTAGAGTAGAATTTGATGCCATCAAGAACATGAGAGGACAAATCACAGAGTGGAAGGAAATATTTAGAAACCATGTTTCCAATGAAGGGAACCTGGGGATGTAGCTCACTGGAAGAGCACTTGCCTGGCGTGGGCGAGGCTGGGCACACACCATGTACAACCTCAGTTACTCCACAGCCTGGGGCAGGAGGGCCATGAGTTAGAGCCCAACCTGGGCCAAGTAGCAAGTCCCCAGCCCCCCACCCCGAAAACCAGAATCTGCAGACAAACTGATCTATCAACGTCACAGTGTCGGTGTTCAGAAATCGGTTATTCCCATTGTCAGCTCAAATAAAAAATGAAATTTTAATCGGATGCCTGTAGTTCTAGCTGTTCAGAAGGCTGAGGCAGGAGATTCAGGAGATTGCAAGTTCCAGGCCAGCCTGGGCGATTTGGTGCCTCCAAGTAAAAAAACTATTAGAGAAAGGGGGGGGGGGGGAATCTAACTCCGTGGTAGAGCAGAACTGGAAAACAAGGGAGGGGTGAAATTTTACAATGACACCATCACACTAGCATAAAATATATCAAAATATCTAACCCATAGGAATAAACTGAACTATTCACTATTTCTAAACTATATTCACTATTTCTACTCTGTTATCTATAAAACATCAAGATAAAATTCATACAACCTAAATCAAGAGGGATGCCATGTGCATGGATGGTGTTGGGGGTGCTACTCCATCAGTTTAGCTCTGAATGATGGGGGGGAGAGGTCTGCAAATTAACTGCCAAAAGCAGATCAACAGGGAAAAGACAAAATGTATCCCACGCAGGCCAGAGCACTGCCCTGAGTCACTGGCTGAATGGCCACAGGACAAGATTTATACCAACTTAACACAAAGGGGAGAGATTCGTGGCTCCCGTGGGAAAGTGGGGATGGTTCTGTTGTTGCAATGCTGTCTCCTTCCTGAATTCCACACGCTTTCAAGAGGCTTTACTTGAGTCAGATAAGAAAAGTTCTGATTTCAAACGTTTTCACTTGAATATAATTTGTATGCCAAAATCTTCAGTATTCAGTATTTAATCAAAATTCAATGTTGTAAAGATGTCCTGACATCCTTAAACTGATTAATGGATTCAAGATAATCCCAATTACAATGCCACAGGTGTGAACGTGTGTGTGCATGCACGTTGACAGGCTGATTCTCAAATTCGATGGAGTCTGACTTATGTCCAGGCCAAGGTCAGAGGAGACGCCCTGCTTGCTGCAGAATGGTGGCTCTGCTCCTCCTTCAGGAAGAAGCAGGGCACCTGCTGAAGTCCCAGGTACTTGTTGATCCTTGTCAAACCAGTTCCAGGCTCCTGGCCTCACCCTGCCCCTCTGGAGGGCCCCTCCCACAGGAGACCGAATGCACCTCACCTGTTTTGTTCCCCACTAACAGAAGCGTGGCCTGGTGAAGAGCTGGGCTTCCCAGCGAACTGGCCTCTCCGGCCTGAATCCTGGATTAGAATCCTGCTGAGGTTCAAAGGCGGCCTCATGGGTGTAGGGTAAAAGGAAGCCACATACGTGGGACACGGGTGTCTGCTGGTCATTTAAAAATTAACTAGTGCCAGGCACAGTGGTGCACTCCTATAATCCTAGTGACTCTGGAGGCTGAGGCAGGAGGATTGCAAGTTCAAAGCCAGCCTCAGCAATTTAGTGAGTCCCTAAGCAACTTTGTGAGACACTGTCTTTAAATAAAAAATAAGAAGATATGGGGATGTGGGGGTGTGGTTATGCATCCCTGGATTCAATCTCTGTTACCTAAATAAATAAATAAAATTAAAAATTTGGTCATCCTCTCAGGGCCCCTGTGAGCCAAAGATGTTCTGAGCAGGGAAGTCAAGGTTGGTTTAGGCTTTAGAAAGACCTCTGGCTGCTGGCGCACACCTGTAATCCCAGTGGCTTGGGAGGCTGAGGCAGGAGGATTGTGAGTTCAAAGGCAACCTCAGCAAAAATGAGGTGCTAAGCAACTCAGTGAGACCCTGTCTCTAAATAAAATACAAAATAGAGCTCAGTGGTTGAGGCTCCCTCCCCTCAAAACAAAACCAAAAAAAAAAAAAAAAAAAAACCACCTCTGTCTGTCTTCTGGGGCTGAGTGGAGGAGGCAAGAGGGGGACAGGAGGCCTGGGAGGAGCTGGGGCAGGACCTGGGTTGCAGAGGAGCAGACTTGATCAGGGAAGGGACAGACAGCGGGCAAAGCAAGGAAAGAAGCCCCAGGGACCCCTCCTGGGAGCACCAATGTCAATCCTGCTCTCGCCAGGTGAGGCTGCCCCTGTTCCCTCTGCAGAAATTGTAAATAATCCACATATCAAGGTGTGAATTTGATAAAGCTCAATAGATGCTGTTTAGTATGTTTGGATTTCTCTCTCTCTCTCTCTCTCTCTCTCTCTCTCTCTGTCTCTCTCTCTCTCTTTTTTTTTTTTTTTTGTTTGTTTTTTCCAGTGCTGGGGATTGAACCCAGGGCCTTGACATGCTGGGCAAGTGCTGAGCTGCATCTCCAGCCCCTGTTTGGATATTTTACAATAAAAAAAATATTTAAAGAAAAAAGCCTACCAAGACTGGGGGAGGGCACGGACATGAAGCTCTGAGAGGAGAAGCCCGTGGGAGCTCCCGACCTGAGGGAGAGGAGAGCAGTGGGAACACAGGAAGGAAAGGTGCGCATCAGCACAGGCCCTGGTGCCCGAGTGCTGCCGCAGGGCAGAAGGAGGACCGAGAGCAGGCCACAGATGAGACACGCAGAACTGGGGGGTCTCCAAGGCCACCCTCAGGCTCCATAATTTCCCGAAAGGACTCGAAAAACCCCCTGCAATCTGTCATACTCGGCACTGAGGTTCATTTCGGGGACAGGATCCAGGTGAAAACCCATCACGAGAAGCACGGCATGAGCAGAGTCCAGAGGGTTCCAGGAACCAGCTCCCAAGTGTCCATTCCCGGTGGAATCTGGACAGTACTGACTTCTCCCAGCAAGGATGAGTGACAAGTATGTCAAGATGTGCCGACCAGGGGAGCTCACCCGGGCCCTGATGTGCAGGGTTTTTAGGAGGATCAGATGAAGCTGACCACCCTGGGGCTGACCTTAGTTTCTAGTCCCTCCCGAGGTTGAGCCGATCCCACCGGGCCCAAATGCCACATCATAAACCTCCTAGTTAACGTAAACTGTGGTGTGGCTGAAGGCACCCGACAAACAACACAGTCTGCTCAGACCGGACATTCCAAGGACTTAAAGATCACCTCCCAGTAGTGGAGGGCAGAGGCCAGACCTCTATTTCAGCGAGGTTAATCCTTGACTATACAGAAAATAAAATTTCCCAGGACTCAAAAGAGAAACATGGTTCAAACAGAAGAGTGCAAACTAAAGGAGAGAAACTTTCTCATACACCCAATTAAGTATAAAGCCAGTGAAACAGAGATGACAAGAAACGCCTCTGTCATTACAGGTAAGAAAACCAGGACTCCATATTGCCAAGGATATGATTCTGAACCAGTCATTCTGGGCCTATAAACTGTTACCTATTCTGTCATGAAAGTGGAAAAAAAACCCACTTATAATATGTAAGAATGCAAATCACTTACCTACCAGACAACCTTTCTACAAAAAGTACTTAGGGATATATTCCAGCAAAACTAAAATGGGATTCAACAGAGGAGCAGTGTGAAGACATTGTAAGAGGATAGTCCTGCAGCAGCCCAGGGAACAGGCAGTATATCCAAGACTATTTAATAAACCGAATAGGAGCAAAGTGCTGATTGATATTGGCCTCATGGTGAGCTAGGCATGAAGTCCCGTTGTGGCAGTTTGAAAAACACCATTCTAGGAAAAATTTAAATGTTCAGTGCCTGATGCAATGATACACACCTATAATCTCAGCAGCTCAGGAGGCTGAGACAGGAGGATCACAAGTTCAAAGCCAGCCTCAGAAATTTAGGGAGGCCCTAAGCAACTGGGCAAGATCTTGTCTCTAAATAAAATACCAAAAGGACTGGGGATGTGGCTCAGTGGTTAAGCATCCCTGGGTTCAATCTCTGGTACCAAAAATAAATCAACATTAAAAAATAAAACCTTCATGCAGTAAAATCAAGGTTGAAATATAAGAAAACAAAAATGTGGCCTGACAAAGTGTTTAGACCCTACATTTAATGTTACAATTTTACATGGCATTGGTTTAATGAAGTAGGATTATGTCTTCATACAGATCCACATTGATTAGCATTTACATACTTTAATATACCAGCTCTATAGTTTCACCTTCAGACTCAGTGTATGGACAAAGCACTGAAGATTTATTATAACCTGGGGAAGGCACCCTGACCATGTAAAAATGATGATAGAGCAGACAGGGCTGGGGATGTGGCTCAGAGGTAGAAGGCTTGTCTAGTAGGCAGGTCTTGCTTTCTGTCCCCAGCAAGGCCTATATACACACGAATCAATGTACTAAACAAAGAAATAGAAGCATTATCTTTTTATTTGGCATTACATGGTTAAAGTAATAGAAACAAATATAGAAAAGATCAAAAGTAATTAACTTTTGAGGACTAGGACTAATGGAGACGCGGGAAGGTGGAATTCTGTGTGGTCTAACTCCGCCCTTGTGCATATGTTATTATTGTAACTACATCCAAGAAAAGTTAATTATTTGAAAAGTCTGCCTGGCTGCTGCGGGGGGCGGTGGGGGGGTGAGATGTAAGATGCTGTTAGAAATCCATCTTTGAGGGAGTAGAGGCGGCTTGCTGTTCCCCGCAGTCCAGGCGCCCAGGGGTGGTTATTAACCGTCACTGGAGCTCCGTGTCGGCTCAGCTCTGGAGCTGAGGACCCCTGTCACGGGAATAAGCGACCGGGTGGGGAAGCAGTTTTCCCTAGAGCAGCAGAAAGGAAACTCCATCCAAAGCGAGCGCCCCAAGCCCACCCGGAACGCGCTTCAGGACCGGTCCCCTCCCTTCAGGGAGGAGGGTTGGAGCCGGCTGGCTCACCCGAGGGTTGTGGGAGGTGCAGACTCAGGGGCTCTCCGTGGCTGGACTTTGTACTCTGGGACCTCCTGTGACCTCCTCACCCCACCCGGGAGTGGCCCCCGGTTGAGGATCTCCACCAGCACTAGGGCAGCCTTTTTCGTTCCTAGCTGCTCGCCAGAATCTTTTAAAAGATGCCCTCGGGTCACCCCAAGCCGGATAAAGATAATAGCATTCCTGGCAGGACTTGGGGCTGGCTCTTATCTTCTTTAAGGCACCAGCTCCCTAAAGCCAGCCCAGCGATTCTGGTCCCTAAGGCGCAGACGGGACTTGGAGGGGAGGGGCTGGCAGGGGGCGCCCCTCTGAGACCCCCCGACCCTCTCTCCCTCGCAGTGTACCACTGGGCGGAGATGCGGACTAAGATGCGCATCATGGGCTTCAACGCCGAAGCCGTGAAGCCGCTGAACGAGGGGGCAGCCGCCGAGCTGGGCGCGGAGCTGCTGGGCGAGGCCATCATCTTCGTCACGGCCTGCGGCTGCCTGCTGATGGAGTACTTGCGCCAACAGGCGCAGCGGCGCCACAAGGAAGCCGAGCGGCGCGCCGCGTGGAACGCGTTGCGGGACGAGATGGGCCACCTGGCGCTGGCTCTGGAAACGCTGCAGGGGCAGGTGCAGGCGACGCCGGCGAAGGGCGCCCTGGAGGAGCTGCGGCAAGAACTGCGGGAGGTGCGCGCCCAGCTCCACGCCGACCAGGTCCGGAACCCGGACCCACTGCCCGATCTCCTGGAGTACTAGGGGGACGCAGGGCCTGTGCTGGACATGACTGCTGTCTGAGCTGCGAGGTCTCCGACCTGGCCACCTGGCCTGCCGTCTGCCCTGTCCCATCCTCTATCTGGCCATCAGACATCACCTGATCTCTTTGGGATCAGAGGATGTGATTCAATCGGGCACCTCCCCACTAACCTGTCCAGTGGTACCTTCCACCTAGTGTCCCCCCCCTCCCACTGGTGGAACGTTCCAACAGGGACCCGCCCCGTCCCCCTGACCTCGCAGGCACACACCTACCGAGCGCTTTGGAAAGGAAAAGCAGTCGTGAATGGGACCCGCCTGTCCACTAGGTGGGTCAGCAGGACAAAACAAAAGTGGATTCTGCACTTGGATTTAGGCAGCCTCTCAATCGGCCATTCACACGCCCACTTACCTGAGGCGTGGCCCCTTCCCCTGGGACCCCCATCCATGGCACCGGTACACCCCCTGCCTCTTCTTCATTGGTTCAGACCATTGTTAAGAAAATGCAGAAAGTTCCAAAGGACTTTCCGGACCGTGGTGCCTGCCTCTACCTCCGTCTCCGAGGGCATAGGGAGATGGACCTTGCCAGCCTCGGCCCCATCGAGTCACCCAGGGGCTCTTGCCTTCAATACTCCGTGGTGCCTTCGCCGGGATCATCTTCCCGAGGGGGTCGTTCCAACCGAAACCCCTCTTCCTTTAGTCTATGGCATAACCCACTGGCAAGGCTGAGCTGGGTCTTCCTGGGCAGTGCCTCCCAGATCCGCCTCCCTGGTCTGTTCTAGCAGGATGTAGCTCTTAGGGGAAGGGAAATGGGTGCCCACCAGGGCAAATCCACTTTTTTCAGTCTCAGCCCCTTTTACCAGTCCCAAGTCATTGACCTATTCCTGTCCTTTCTCACAGCCTTCCCCTGTGGTCCAATTCAGTAGCCTTTTTTAAAGGACCCATTTATCCTCTAAATATAAGGTCAGTGTCACATCCCTCATCTTCCATACAGATCTGCTCCTGGGAGAGCCACTGCCCTTCCTTCTTGCACCTCTTCCGTGAGAACCCCACCCCATTCAACTGGAATGGCATCCCACTGAGCTTTACACACACACACACACACACACACACACACACACACACACACACACGGCCAACTCACTGAGCACTCAAGGGGCACATATTAACTCTAATTTTGGAATCCTATTCTTTTTTTAAGACTGCAGAATTAAAGGAGCTCTAGGGTGAAGAAATCATCTTAATGTTCTTGAGAACCATGATTCCCATCTGCCCAATGGGCACATGTCATTAAAATTAGGAAAGAAGCTGGGAGTGTTCTGGAGAAAGGGGGCAGTCATCACATGGTGAATCAGAGGCTCTGAGTAGGCCCCCGACTGTGCAGGGCCAGTCAGTGAGGCCCGTCCCTGGCCTTCTCCAGGATGGCCAAGCAGTTGGGGCAGCCTAAGAGGCACAGGTAGAGGTGAGAAGGGACGGGGGTGGGGTGGGGTGGGGTGGGGCAGCATCTCATTCACCAAGGTCATCAGAACCCCTCCCGTCACTCCAGAGATCTTCACACTTATAAAAACTGCAGATTTATTCCACAAGGGCCCATTCTCAAGAAGCTGGAGGTAAAGGGGGAGGTTCCTCCCTTCTCCCTCCCTTATTCCCCAGAGGGTAAAAATGGTCTGGACCCCAAAACCTATCCAAATAAAAAAACCCAAAAAACTGAGGTTTCAAAAAGTTACAGCATCTTAATTCCTCATAGAAAAGGGAAGGAGCTCGAGGGAAGGGGGGGGTCCCGGGGTGGGGGAGCACCCCAGTCTGGTGAGACACCCACCCTAAAATAGCTGCCCCAAATGGCTAGCCTGGGGCTATAGCATTTAAAAACTCCCACACCCCGTTTTATCAAAACCAAAAAGGAAAAAAAAATTTCCCTTTCCCCCCAAACCCAAATATATATATAATATATTTTTTTCCTTAAAAAAAAAAAAAAACAACAAAATGATTCGAAGGCATTAAGCATTAAAGTGAATCTAGAACAAGGGAATGTGAAATTCCCTCCTTCCTTCCCCCTTACTGTGGGGTTAATTGGTACATCCCCAACAGAGGAACCAGCCCCAAGGGGATGGCAGAGGGGAAGGACCAAAGGGAGCAAAGGGTGGGGGCCTCCCCAGCTCATCAATCAGCAGCCAGTAAGGGTGTGGGCACGGTGCCAGGGAAGCCACACCCCCTTGGAATTTTCCAAGTGGGATCCGGAGGGGGAAGATGCATTCCTGTGTAATCTTCAGCCAATTCCATGTCAAGTAGAGGCAGGGAAAGCAGGGTGACAGGCCGGGTGTGCAGAAAGAGAAACAGGTCATTTGGGTCCCTGTGGTCAGGGGGAACCCCGTTTCCTTAGCTCCTGGACAAAAGCTGGAAGGAAACAAGAGGCAGGGTCAGAGCCAGTCTCTTCTCTCCTCCCTGCCAAGTCAAGAGGATCTCCAAGGGACACATCGGGACACATCGCCACTGCTGCAGGGTAAGTTAAAGTTCAAACACCTCACCTTCAATTATCTCCTCTTTGACCTTCTGTAATTCCTTCCTCACCTCTTCCAGAAGCTCCTGAAAATAATGGGGCATAACCATTCAAGAGAGGGTCCTGGAACAAACAAATCCCCTCCTTTCTTTGTGACACTAACCTAGGAACACACTACCACCAAATGACTGTCCCTGCCACTTTTTTTTTTTTTTCTTTTGTACCAGGGATTGAACCCAAGGGTGTTTAAACACTGAGCCACATCCCCAGCCCTTTTTAATATTTTATTTAGAGACAGGGTCTCACTGGGTTGCTTAGGGCCTCATTAAGTTGCCGGGGCTGGCTTTGAACTTGCAATCCTCCTGCCTCAGCCTCCAGAGTTGCTGGGATTACAGGCATGCACCACCAGGCCTGGCCCCAGCCCTTTTTGAGACAGGGTCTCATTAAATTACCCAGGCTAGCCTTGAACTTGTGATTCTCCTGCCTCAGCATCCTGAGCAGCTAAGATCATAGGCTTGCACTCAGCCAATTTCCCCTTTTCTTATTTATTTATTTGCACTGCTAAGGATGGGACTCAGGGCCCTGTGTGCTAGGTTAGTACTCTACTACTGAGCTACACTCCAGGACCCCTACCTACTTTCCAACTGGCTGAAGAGCCAGAGGAAACAGGTAGAGACCTACCCCCACTTCCTGACATGGCTGCCAAGGTTATGGAATGACTGGGATATTTTATAAGAGAATTCTAGATCCTTGGAGCCAAAAGAAAAGTACTGGAGAACATCCAGTACCAGGCCTGGCAAATGCATTTCTCTGTCCTGCCAATTTGGATTGATAGATGGCTGGAGTCTCTGGGCTCAGAAGGACTCAGCAGGAATGTGTGCTGATAGATTTCCTAAGGTCTGTCACAGGCACTAGGAATGGGGTATGATGTCTGTGACATCCCTGACCCAATCCAGTCCCTCCACTTCTCAGCCTGGAGTTTCCAAGGTCTTCTCTAGAATCACATGCACATCAGTAGCAGGCTCTGGACGTAGATCTCCTTTCCTCTGGCCCCTGTCTAGTTTCCAGCCTCCACCCCAGCCTCCATCCCAAGTTACCTGCTTCACCTTCTCCAGGTCTGACTCTTCCCCAGAGCTGTGCGTAGAAGCCTGGGCCTCAGAAGCAGTGATGGAAGATGAGGACTTCATCCTGGAAAAGTTGGTGTGGTTTGGGACAGATAAGAGGCTCAAAGGAGGATCTGTCTCCCTTGCCTCCCATTCCAGGGGTTACATTGTGCTCCTCCCTATAAATTGGGCAAGTTCAACTATTTAGGGGGTGCAGCCCCAACGCTGATGGCCCACCTTGGCAAGGTTGTGCTGTTCTTCTCCCAGGGTCTCCGCACAGGTTCTAGGGATCAGGGAACAAATCAGATCAGGGACAAGGACTGCCCCCAATCTTTTCCCCTCAGCCTCAACAGCCCAAAGAAGCATTTTAGGAGACTACAATCCCCAGACTTATTCCCAGACTTTCCAAGAGGGTGCTTTGTGAGAACAGGGCATCCTGGGACTTGTAGTTTCTGTGGCTAGACAAGAGTTTCACTCACCACTCTGGGCTGGGACTCTGGCCTCTGGCTCCTCCTGCTGGTAGGAAATAAAAATATCATGAGGCAGCCCCTGTCACACCTCTGCTCATTTCCTCTTCCAGGTCCAAGGCCAGCCCAGCCCTAAGACACCCCCTCCCCAATGCCCCTACCCTCTTGGGGCATCCTAAGGTGTACAGGGCAAGAAGAGACCCTCACTCACACTGGCAGATTCTTCCTTGGGGGGTTTCTCCCCAACCTGTGTGGCTTTCCTTCTGCAGAAGGGAAAAGCAGGACAGATGCTTCAGTCCTACCTCAGCCACCCAACAACCCTGCTTCCTGTTGGTCTAGAAATGTGGGCTCCTGGATTTAGCATTCTGGATTCATGAAGGCTAAGGAAACTCTAGTTTTAGAAGTTAAAAGTATTGTTCTTCTAGGGCTGGGGCTGTCGCTCAGTGGTTGAGTGCTTGCCTCGCATGCGTGAGGCACTGGGTTCAATCCTCAGCACCACATAAAAAAACAAATAAATAAAAACAAAGATATTGTGTCCATCTACAACTAAAAAAAAAGTGTTTAAAAAATATTGCTCTTCTAGAATTAGGGTGGTGAGCTCTCTGGTCCTCACATTTAGGAAATCATAAAATTCTAAAGGCAGGGACTCTCTCCTAGATGCTGAGGGGGTTTCCTGAGGTTCTCGAATCTAGGCTTTAGAACATTCTACCAGGTCATCAGCCACCTCAGGAGACCAAGTCTCCAGTATTAAACCCAAACCTGGATGGAGGTCAAGGGGCAACTTTCACCCAAAGAAACAAAACAGGGATCAGAGCCACCCGCCTCGCCCCAAACTGCAGTCTTGAGGGGACTCAGGCCGGGGCTCGGGCTCACCTCCGGGCCAGCATGGCATTCATCTCCTCCATGAGCCCCCCACCTGTGCTTCGGGTGCTCTCAGCTTTGGTGGCCAAGGGCCCTCCTGAGGCCTCCTCCTGCTGGAGAAATCAGGAAGGACAGAGGTCTTGAAGGACGGGCCTCCGGGGACTCGGCCTCCTCCCATCATGTCCAGCAGCGTCCTGGCCGCCCCACCCTGCCTGCTGCCGTCACCTTGCTGACTTTCCTGAGTTTGGCTCCGGCAATGGCTGCAGCCAGGCCAGGGGCTCCAGCTCCCCCACCACTGGGGCCTTGTGCTGCAGGGAGAGGGGGTGCAGGGGGCGGGCCTCCCCCTGCACCATGTCCTGCAGCCGAGACCCCTGAAGGGGGCAGGCCTGGGGGTGGGGGAGGGCCCGGAGGAGGGGGAGGTCCTGGAGGTGGGGGTGGTCCCCCCATGGGGGGAACAGGTGGGCCTCCTGAAAGAAAACAGAAAAGGAGCCACTGAGAGGAGCCTCATCATTGTCCAGCCAGCCTGCCCCTTTCTCCAGGGGGGACCCCAACTCCCACAGCCCCTTGTAGTCACCTGCGTTGGAGACCCGGCGTTCCCGCTCCATATACTCAGGCTGGCTGGGCTGCTGCCTGTGGTGAGGGTGACAGGGCCAGCGTCAGTCAAGGCCCATCACCATCACTTGTGTGGCCACTGACCTCTGGCTCTGGTGAGGGTGCTCCTAATTCCCACCCAAGCCTTCCTTCCCCAGGGGCCCAAGAAAGGTAGGGTAGAGAATGGGGGGCAGGAGAGACGGCGAGACCAGGATGTGAGTTCTAGCCATTAAACTGCCACGTGCACCCCAATCGTAGAATGCCCTTTAACAACGAGATCCTGGTCCTCGGAATCAGAAGCAGGGGGCCTAGAAGCTTTACAAGCTGAGTGTGAGTTTTCTGTCCGTTTTATTTTATAGTTCTAGGATCACACCACTCTACCTGGAGACACAGTCCCTGACCTTTGTATGTTTTTTGTTTGTTTTTGTACCAAGGATTGAACCCAGGGGCTCTGGGTTCATGGAGCCATATCCTCAGCCCTTTTTTAAAAAAATTAATTTTGAGATAAGATCTCACTAAGTTGCTGAGGCTGGCCTGGAACTTGGGATCCTCCTGCCTCAGCCTTCCTATTGCTAGGATTACAGGTGTGCACTAGCACACCTGGCTGTGAGGAGTTTCCTGAACCCCAGGAGATGGGGTGTCTGCAAGCTGTTAGTCCCTTGGGAGTTGGGACTTTCTGGAAACTGAGAGTTGGAGAGGTCATGGGTTCTCCAGCAGAAGAAAGGTTCCCCACCCAGAGACCAGCCCACCTTTTCTGCTGCTCCACCTCCTCCGGGGAGGGGCCGTTCTGGATGGACCAGGCCGGCGGTGCTGGGGGTGCAGGAGGCCCACCTCCTGAAAGGTAAGAGTAGAAAGGGTCATGAGTCCACCCTGGGAGTCTGCAGGGATCTGCCCCGGCCCTTAGTGCTGTCCCTTGGGTCACTCAGCAGTCCTGCCAGAGTTGCACACTTCCTCCTTGCTTTGAGACCCTGACAATTGGGGCCCAGGTGTGGTTCCAGCTTCCCTTGGCAGAGCTGCCCTGAGATAGATGATGTTGGGATACCCAAGAGACAGACAGGGAAGCTGCGGCCCAAGGGGGTCAACAGCCCCAAAGCTGTGTAGTTTGGAATCTGCAGGAACAAGCTTGAATTCCAGATGACCTGAGCATCTGGACTCTTGACCACAGCCAGGGCCACATGGAGCCTGCCAGGACCCGGAAAGGCTGAGGGCTTCCTCTTCATCTGCCCCAGGGCTCTGACCCCCTCACGCATACACTGCTACTGCGTTTGTCTGTGCGCCCCCAGACGAGCAGGCCCTTCGGCTCTAGCACTGCAGTTGCCCCACGAGGCAACCCCTCTGCTGCGGGGGATTTCCAGCCCTGCAGCAGCAGCTCCAGACCACGGGTGCCCAGCAGCCACCCGAAGCCTGGCCGCTTCAAGCCCCATCTGGGGACCAGGAACTTGGGCTGGCCCAGCCCCCGCACCGAGCCTGCACTTGACCCAGATCCCCAGGCAACTCAGATGTGCACGAAAGTTTAAGAAATACCAACTGGAGACTGCTTTGGTTTTGTTTCTGCAGGGCTGGAACCAGGGCCTGCTACAGGCCAAGCCAGCACTCCACTACCAGCTCCTCCTCAACCCCCATCTGGAGACTTTTAAAATATCAATGCCCCAAAACTACTAGACGACATAAAGCAGCAGGGTCACCTGGGGAAAAGGCTGGAGGGTGGAAATCTAGACACCCCTGAAGAAGGTACGCTCAGGAGCCCACCAGATCCTCCCCATACGTTTGCACCAGACCAACCAATCAGGCCCAGATGGTAGGGCAGCAGCCTCGGGCCCACCCACTGATCGCAGGTCCCACTGCCCCTGCTGCCCCCGCTGACCTTCCAAGGCCTCCAGGGCGCTGGCCATGCCGGCAGCAAACTGCGCTGCGTCCTCCTTGCTGCCGAAGTTGAGGCCCCAGACCTGGCGGGCATCCCGCCACTGATGGAAGTTGGGGGTGGCCTGATTATACTTCACACCCCGGACGATGGCACAGTTGATGACCACCTGGCAGGAGGGGAAAGGAGGTGAGGGGCGGTGGGCTCAGGAGGGGCTCAGCCCACAGAGAGAGGGACGAGGGCGCCACACCTGCTGGTCAGGCTGCATCTTGCGTCCGACAACCCGGAAGGAATTGGCCGTGGGGTTGTGGTAGATCTGCACACGGCTGAAGGTCTGGGGACCCGTGCCGGCAGGCAGCCACCGCTTGTTGCCATCATCATAGAGCATCACCGTCGCCCGGCTCGAACAGATAACGGTCTCGCTGCCAGAGGTGGACAAAAAGGGAGAGGGAGTGGTCACCTTCTTCACCTGGGTCTCCCCAGAAGATCCGAAGGGAAAAAGAGCAAGAGGAAGAACAAGAGAGGGGGCAAGGCATCCTCCAGGAGGATAAGAGGGCAGATCAGAGAGGGGAAGACAAGTGAGGGGCTGGGACAGATGGGGCAAGGGACAGAGGGGACAAAGAAACAGGAAGAGGGGACAGATGGGAGGTGAGGAAGGCAGAGTCAGGCTGGTAACACCTGTGACAGGCAGATAGGGCGTGGTGGGAAAGGAGGTGACCAGGCAGAGACAGAGATAAAGACAGAGGCAGGCAGACAGAGACAGAGATCAGAGAAGAGGGAGGGAGACGCAGGTGAGCACCAGAGGCTGTGGCCCTTCCCCTGTCTCCATCAGCCTGCAGGGACCCCTCCCTGCCTCTCAGGTCAGAGGAGGAAGCAGAGGCTCAAAGAGGGGAAGGGTGAGGGCTGCTGAGAGCTAGGCCCCTCTTCCCCCAGGTCACCTCACTCTCACCAGCTCCCCAGGGCATCAATTGCCTCTTGAATGGCCCCAGGGCAGACACTTCCTGATTTGGGTCAGGCCCTCATTGGGTGGGGCTGGGGATAGCTACACAGCAGTGGCCCAGACAGACAACCCTGGCGCCACCCTCCCAGGGCTCACAGTCCAGTTCAGAGACAGACATCCCAGACAGTGACAACTCAGGGTCCCAGCCCAGGTCTGGGGCACTCAGAAGGAGCCCCTTGGGTCAGGCAGGGCTCCCAGAGTGTGGAACAGCTGGCTTGGTCTTAGTGGAGGGATCTGTCTGAGCCCAGACCTGACTTCCCAGGCCTGGGTTCAAAGCTCTGCTGAGGGCTGGCTATAGCTCAGGGCTCGCCTCCTGTGCACCAGGCCCTGGTTCAATCCCCAGCACCACAGGAAAGAAAAAGAAAAAAAAAGCTCTGATGAACCCTTTCCACCACGTGATCACAGCAAGGGATGGTAGGGAACTAACAGTCTGCTCTTCCCTGCCCACCAACTGGAGAAATGCAGGTGGCCTCCTCCCGAGGTGGTGGGTGCGAGTAAGGAGTCTAGACACTTGAGCACCTGGCGACTGTCAGCACCATGTCGCGGGCACCCTGGGCAGGCCCGCTAGTGCCCTATACAGCTGTACCCCTCTAGCCCGCGGACTGGGAGGCTCAATCCCCCTCCCCCAGTGAGGAAACTCAGACTCCCAGACGGGAAGTGACTTGGCCAAGGTCACACACAGACAGGGGAAGTGGGGGGGGGAAGCACTGATCTCTACCCTACCCCACACCCACCCGTTTCTTTCCTGAAAAGAAGAAGTTGGTGGTCAGAGGTTTCCGGGGAGAGAAATTACGCCCACAAATGGGGGGGGGGCTGGGGCCTGACACTGAAGCTGAGCAAGCTGGTCTAGGGAAACCCTCTATAGGCCCTGGGGACTGAGCCCATGTCCCCACTGTACATAACTGGCATCTCCTCCCCTCGGATCCTTCCGCTGGGTCAGAGCCCTGAGCTCTTCCCCAGAGCCACTGGTTTGTCCCCACTGCAGTCCCTCTGAGGACACTATTTCATCCTCACCTTGCAGATAAGACTGCTGATCAGGGGCCCAGAGAGGCTGAGTGACTGGGCCACTAGTGACACAGCCACATAGCTACGAAGCAGCAGAGAAATGAAACCTTTTTTCCTCCAGTACTGGGGATGGAAACCAGGGCCTGACCCGCCAGGCAAGGGCTCCACCCCCGAGCCACAGCCCAGCCCCAGAGTGAGGATTCAATCCAGGCCACCTGGCTTCCAAGTCCACAGCCTTAACCACAGGGAAGCCTGGGCCCTACCAAGCACCAGGTGTCATTTGGACAAGCACAGCCTCGGGGGGCTGTTTCTGGCTCTGGTGCCTCTGGCAGTGCAGGGTTAAGGTCTTGCCCACACCTGCCACCCACACCCAGAACACTCTGGCCAGGTGCCCAAGAGCTGGAGAGCTGTCGCTGCCCCACCCTGGCTGCACTTTGCCCTCCCAGGTGGCCCTGCCCAGCTAAGGCTCTGGCCTGGCCAGAGAGCTAGGCACCTGCAGGGTGACCCTGGGCTGGTCCTGCCCTCCCCCAGGTTCTTAATGAACCCACCGCAGCTGAAGGATCCTGTTAAAACCCAAGGCGGATAGTGTCCCTGTCCTGGGAGCTCTTTGGGGCCTAAGGGATCTGCCTTGCCCCCCCCACAGCCCGGCTTCCACACTGTTCCTTCAGGGTGCCCGGAAATCCAAGGCCTGGGCCTGGCCTGCACTCTCACCTCCTAGCTGTCACCTCTTGCGAAAAGCCCTCCCTAACTTCCTGGTCTGGAGAAGCTCTCCCCTCTCCTCCCCTCCAGCACTTTTCATAGCAGCATCTGCCCGAAAATCTATCCTGTCCTCCCCAAATGTCAGGTCTACAAAGGCCAGGGGGGTTGTCCCTTCTGTTCACTGCTGCGTCCCCAGAATAGTACCTAGCACTTAGCAAGGACTCAAGAGTTGTTAAATAAACACATCTGTAAAAAAGGCCAACTCCTAATAATGACAGCTGACATTTATCAGCTAGCTTGTGTCCCAGACACCATTCCAGGCACTGGGACCCAATTTCTAGCTGGCCCAGTTATACAACCACAAGAAGTAGACTCTGCAGGCACAGAGAGGTGAAGACATTTGATGCAGGTCACACAGCAAGTAAGTAGAAGGGCTCATTTGAACCCAAATCCACCTAAGTTCTTCATTTAAAGATGAGAAAATAACTAGGATGAAGTTTTTAAAAAGCAATGTACAAAGTAGAGTGGATCAGAGGTTTCAGAAAAAAAATAAAAGGTGGGGAGGATATAAATATATCCACACACAGTGATATATGCAGAGGCTTCTCAAGAGACGAACTATGAGTCAGTGAGGGAGAAGCAGATATTTCACACCTTTTACCCTTATAGTTCTTTTTCTTTATTTTCACTTATTATGAACTGGAATTACCTGTAAAACCCTAATTCATAAGTTAAAACACACACACACACAAAAAAAAAAAAAACCTATAAACTAGGCAAAAGCTGGAGTGGAAAACCCCACAGTCAGAAAGTGGATTGTAGGGGTGAGACAGTTCCTGGGTGCTGGGGTCACACCCTGCCCTGAACATGAAAACTCCATAATCCCCCAGCAGAGACCCCAGGCCTCCAAGAAAGTCACCTCCTTGTTGTGTGGCTTCACTTCTGTGCCCCTCAGTTTCCAGCCCTGGGATGGCTGTAAGGATAAAAAGAGATGACACCAAGCCCTGAACTAGGACCTGGAAAGTGGCACACATTTGTATTTTGAGCTGAGAGTCCTAACAGGAGGGAGGAGGCTTCCCCTGCTGGAGGTAATACAGCGCATCCACCTTCCAGATGCAATTCTTTCCCTTCCCTTCACTGCTCCCCTCTCCAAAACTCGTGGTGCACACACACAGCCTTCCCCAACTCCGAGCTCTCTTTGAAGCAACCCCAGGTGAGGAACCCAGTGTAGGCTCTGGGAGCTTGTGTGGTTTCTCTGGTCCCTCCTTCCTAGTAGGCCTCAGTTTCCCAACTGAACAGGAGGGTAAAGTTTCTGTGTGGATTTCTTTTTGATTACCTGAATGATCTTAAGTTCATGTGTGCACTTTGCTTTGTTTTTACAGTAAAAGCATGTTATTTTATAATTTTTAAAAAACTACAGGTTTTATTTCCCTCTCTTTTTTTCTTCAGTACTGGGCTCTGAACCCAGGAGCACTTGGCCAGGGCTACATCCCCAATCCTTTTGCATTTTTATTTTGAGACAGGGACTTGCTAAGTTGCTGAGGCTGGCCTTGAACTTGCGGTCCTCCTACCTCATCCTCCTGTGTGGCAGGGACTGTGGGCCTGCTCCACTGTACCTAGCTTCCTTTTTCTTTCATAGCACAATACAGACAGTCCTGGGTTCAAGCTCAATATTGGCCACTTTCCAACTATCTGACTTTAATTGGCAATTTGCTTAACTACTCTGTGTCTCAATTTTCCCCATCTTGTAAACTGAAGGTTGAGACAGGGCACAAGGCTGTCACTGTCTTGATCTTAAAATCATCATGAGGGCTAAACTGAATCAGATGCTGAGTACAGTGCCTATCATGAAGTAGAGGTCTGACTACATGATCTCATCACTTTAAAAAAAAAAATAAAACAAGAACAATAACTTCTATTATTGTAAGAGGAAAGAAAGAAACCAAATTCTTCCTAAGTCCCTTCTGCTGGGGTTCCCTGCTCTCCCAGAAGCCCAGATCCCGGACGCAGACACTCAACAAATATTTGTCAAATGTGAGAAAAAGAAGTATATCTTGTAATTTTCCATCTTAACATCCTCTCTTCCAACTGCCCCAGGACTGTCCCCAGTCAAACCATCCAGAAATCAGCCCATTCCAGCCTCCTCCCCTCGCTGAAAACTGCCCAAGAATTCCTGAGAATCTGCGCCAGGCCTCTCTCATTTTGAGCCTCAGTTTCCCCACCTGGGAATAGGGGCATGGGTCATTTTGAATCCTAGCTGTCCTTGGAGAAGGAGCACTGCCCAGGAAGTTCTGTGTGACCACCGGCAAGGGAGACCCCTTAGAAGGTGGGAGGAACATTGGTGGGACAAGCACCCTCAACTTCTGCACACCCCGCGGAGTCGGGAGGTTCGGCCTCCTCGGCCAAGGGAGAGGGGGCCCTGTGGAGGGCCAGGGCCTCCGGGCTGGGGGGAGGGCAGGAGGCCGGCCCAGACACTGCTCCTGCCCTTTTACGGTCTCGCAGTGAGTGAGGCAGCACTAACTCGGACATCCGCCATCCGCCTTCCACCGTGCCTGGGACCGGAAACGGGCGGGGCTGGGGGCGGTGGGAGAGAAGAGTCCCCCGGGAGAGAGTGAAGGAAGAGGGCCTATCTCCTGCAAACTGCCCCTCTCGGGATGTTGCTCCACTGGGGAAAGGCTATGCAGGGAGGTGGAGGGTGTCTGAGGGTGTCGCCTGGCTCCAGATCTTCCAACAATTCCTTTCACTACAGAATCCCCCGCCCCACAGCAGGGGGGGTTCTGTAAGGATTCTAAAAAGGAATGTCACCCTGATGTCAGAGGGCAGGGGTGTGGGGAATAAGGAGGAAGTGGAGGATGTGGGCATCAGGGGGTTAATCTCAGCTGTCCCCAGGGGCCTCCCCCTCAGGCCGGGGGGCTTTGGTGCAGGAAGTCCCAGAGAGAGTGGAGGAAGGGAGATAGTATTGTCAGACTCTGGCCCCAAGGGAGAGATTATGGGGGGTCATGGGAGAGAAGAAGAGGGGCCCCCGAGGTCAGCACTGGCCCCGCCCTCAGGTGAGCCCAGGAGTTTGGGGGAGGCCCGGGTAATACAAAATCCAAAGTGCCTTGGGGCCCCTCACCCCAGGATTATATTACTGGGAAGAGAGCTGGAACTATCTGCTAAGCCTGGGTCCCTGGGGGAGAAGGCTGTGACCTTGAAGCCTCCTAGCGCCCCCTCCTCCAATCCCAAGGCTCGGAAGGCTGGCGGGGGGCAGTGAGCCCAGGGGGAGGGGCTGTGGTGCCCAAAGTGGCTGGCCCCCAGCGCTCCGGCCCGCCCGCCACACCAGCTGTCTCGACAGGTGAGTCAGGAAGACAAAGGCCCCCCTCCCCCAGCTGCCGCGCCCCCTCTCTCCCCAGGGCCCGCAGGTGGGGGTGAGGGCCGCCCTTCTGGCCCCGGGCCGGGGAGCCGCCCTCGGCGAGGAGCGCTCGCTCGGTCCTAGGCACGGCCGGTTTGAGGCAGATCATGGATGAGGAGCGACGGGGGAGGGGAATCCCAACCAGACCCTCGGGGCTGCGCCTGGTCCGTGGGTTATGGGTCAGTCCACAATCACCCTCCAACAGGAAGATTTAGGAGTCCCCCAAATTTAGGGGATCGAGAAGTAGCCCCGAAGTTAAGGAGCGCGGTCCCACTCGGGGAGACTTTCCAGCGCTTCAAAAGCGGGGACCCTGCAAATCCTGGGTCTGCAAATCCAACAACCCTGCTTCTCGGTTGTCTTTCTAGGTCCCAGGGTCTCCCAACCCGACCCCCCACAATCCATCCTGACCTCAATTTGAGGATTCGGGAAGATTTGACCTCAGTTTAAATTCTAGCATCCCTGCGAGCAGGATCTGCCAACTTGGAGGTGCTCTGAAAAAAGTCTTGAAAATTAGGGAGTCCTCGGGGCTCCCCCAAATCTGAGGACTCTCAGAAGGACCTCATCGGCACCGCCCTGAGCCTTAGGAGTCACGGAAAGGTGGTTGATAATGATAGTCCGTCTAAGGGGTCTTGGCCCAAAGCTGAGGCTTCCAAAGCCCTGTCCCCAAATTCCAGCGGGGCGACTGGGGGAGGGGGACAAAGGCGGGGCGGGGAGGCTGTGCGGCGGGGAAGGGTCCCGAGGCAGTTCCGGGCTCACCTCATGGTTGCTTGGCGGGCGGGCGGCGCGCCCACGGGCTGGCTGCTCCCGGGGCGCCCCTGGCGCGAGCTTCAGGGGTTCGGGCTGGCTCCAGGTTCTGCTCAGTCGCCCCCAGGGTCCCGCCCCATAGAGTCCGGCTTCCTGGGGGAACGTGGATCGGGCCGGGGCGGATCCTCGGGCTCCTCTTCCCGCCGATAGTTTGATGGGGGGGTCCCAGCGACGGAAAGGGGGTGCGGCGCTGCCTCCCGGCGCGCCCCCTCGGCCGGCGGCGGCTACAACGTTACTCTTACTACTGTACTTCTCTTCGCTACATTTCGTTCCAAAATTCCACTCCCCGCACCCACAATTCCCTGCGCCTTAAAGGGGCCGCGGAAACCACTAGGCGGGGGATGGAGGGCGCTTAAAAGGGCAACGCGGAACCCTCGACTTCCGCAATTTCCCTTTCCCCATCGTTATTGCACAGGGTTTGCTCCCCGGCCTTTCGCCCAAGTTGGGGGACAAGCTTGGTGGGGGAGAAGGGAGCCTTCCTTGACTTCGAGTCCTCTCACTGGGACTTCTGGGGGGAATCTCGGCGGAGCCAGTTTCTCCCGTCCCACTCTCACCCGCGACTTCTTCATTTCTTAATGTTAAGCTCAATTTTCGGAGGCAAGGAAGATCCTCTGGTTAGGGAAGGGGTCTGTTAAATTTTCTCCCTTAGAGCCCACTTTTGGACGTCCCCTGCCCCTCCAAGCTTCTCAGTCAGTTTCTGAGGGGTGACTAAGGGATGAGGCCCCTCGCCCGCCCAGGAGGGTGACGGCTGGCAAGGCCCCCGCCTCATTGTCCCCCGCCCGCCCAGGGAAGGTGAGAGGAAGTGGGCCGAGGGGGCGCGGCCGGCCGCTGACTCACCGCCGCAGGGTCGGGGGGTGGGGTGGGGGCGGGGGTAAAGGTGGGGATCCGCGGGGAGTGCGGAGGATGGGGGTGCTGCGCTGGCCCGGGTTCGGGATGGGACGCTAGGTTCCGTGTGGAGAAAGACCCCCTCGCCACACGCCCCGTTATGAATTAGTTTCGCCCACGGAGGACAAGCAGGATCATCCCAGCGACCGGATGGGCACCGGGGCGAAGAAACCCTCCTAGGGGCCGACTCCCGGGAGCCCCCTCCTCTCGGCGCAGCCCTGGCGCGAGCCCATACTCCCTCCAGGGCTTCCGCAGCAGGCCCCGCCCCGAATGACGCCACGGGAGGCCACGCCCCTCCAGTAGAGCGCCACCTGGGCTGGATGAGGTGCTCTAGCCCTGGAGAACCACTGCTTCCCCTTTTACAAATCGGTAAACTGAGACGTGGAGACACAGAATGAATCTGGCCCATGGGCCTCTTGCCTGAGTCCCCGGAACCCCGAAAGCCAAGGTATGGATTAAAACCAATTCTCTGGGCCCAGTTGAAGAAGTGCACTCCTTTTTCTGGACGCTCTCCTGCCTCCTTTCCCTTGGGGAACACTTCATCTTTCTAGGTCAAGCTCTATTATTAATTCTTCTCCACAGAACCCCTAGCCCTCTCCCTTCCCTGCCGAACTCTGGGAGACCTTGACCCTGTACCCCTAGGTTATGATTGTATTTCCTCTAGTCTGAGTTCTCTGGCTGCAAGCGCAGGCTTGATCCGTTTTGGGGCTCACCCAATCCAGCCAGGCCCAGGATAGCAGCTCAACATTTATCCAACTGAATGAGAACCCCTGTTCTGTGTGGCCTTGGCCAAGTCCTTTCTCCTCTGGGTCTCAGCTTTCACATCTATGCAATGGGAGGGCTGCTACTTCCAAGTGCCATCTGCACTATAACAGGAATCAGCACTTTCTCTATAAAAGTTCAAATAGTAAACACTTGAGGCATATTAGACAAAGGTCTGGTTCACATATTTTTTTCCTTTTTTTTTTTTTTTTATGGTGCTGGGGACAGAAAGAGGGGCTTCTTAAATGCTAGGCAAGTGTTGGATTACAACCCATCCCCAATATCTTCTCTCTTCTTTTTTTTTTACAAAATAAACTTTGGAATTTCCCTTCTTTTAAAAACGTAAAAAGCATTCTTAGCTCTAATGCTGTGCCAAACAGATAGCAAGACCCCTGCACTAGAGAACTCCTGGATGTGTACATGAGGAGTCTGACAGAGAATCTTATGTCGACATGTCAGTGATGTGAGAGGAAGAAATTAGAAGCAGAATAAATGACCGTTGAGAAGACAGGATAATGAAACCCTCCCATGTCTCTTGTTTGAGGTGCTAGGCAGCAGCTTAAAAGAATGAGTCGTGTAAAGGACTTGATGAAATCTTAATGTCACTGAGTGAATTGAGTGAGTTGCTGAATGACATATAGGGTAGGGAAAATCAAGAACACCTAAGGTGACATATACATATTTGTACCTGCAGGGTAAAGGGTCCTGAAAAATCTACTCCAAACTCATTACAATGGTTACTGATGGGATGGAGGGTGACACTGTAAGAGTCCTATGGTCACAGAGGCCTGAAACCTCATCTAGAAAATGCCAATTTAGCCCTGCTCCTAGGCCTTCACACTGGCTGTTCCCTCTGCTGTGGGACACTCTTCTTCACATGGCTGGTTCCTGTGTCAAGTCTCTGCTCAGCTGTCCCCTTCTCAGAGACTTTACCTGCCCCTATTGAAGCAGCTACCCCAGCTGGAAAATTGAATGGCTGAAGGATGAGGGGATCCAGAAAGCCTTTTCACTTCACCTTTGAACTTGAAACTAGGTGAATTTATTACCTATTCAAAACTAAAATAATTGGCCAGGCATGGCAGTGCACACCCATATCCCAGCAGCTCAGGAGCCTGAGGCAGGAGGATTGTAAGTTCAAAGCCAGCTTCAGCAACTGAGCGAAGCCCTAAGCAACTTAGCAAGATCCTGCCTCAAAAAAATAAAAAGCCTGGGGATGTGGCTCAGTGGCTAAGTACCCTTGGGTTCTGTCCCTGGTACCTCCTCCAATCTAAATGAATTAAATTAAAATTTAAAAAGTAAAATAAAGGCTGACCAAGCTGGCACACACCTGTAACCCCAGTGACTGGGCAGGCTGATGCTGGGAGACTGCAAGTCTGAGGCCAGCCTCAGCAATTTAGGGAGACCCTCTTTCAAAATAATAATAATAATAATAATAATAAAGACTGAGGATGTAGTTCAGTGATAAAGCACTCCTAAGTTCAGTCCCCAGTACCAAAAATAAATAAATAAATAAAATTTAAAAATCAAAATGGCTCCCCTCATCATTTTCTTATCATGTCTTGTTTTATTTTCCCTATGACACTTGTCGGTGTCTGAGATGACCTTATCTATTGGTTCCCTTGTTTTCTGTCTCCCCAGGTTTGGAGGTGAGCTTCATGAGAGCAAGGGTCTTGGTGACTGGCCTGGTTCATAACTGTGAACATGTCCTGGAACACAGCAGGTGTCCACTACATATTTGCTGATAGGCAAATAATTTTTTAAATATGAAAATGATTTGGAATTACTAATGTAATTAAAATTTAGTGATTGAAACTTTATCCATCTCCCCTCAAAAACAGATGGAAAATAGGATGGAAAAAGAAGGTCATTGAACCTGGTGATCTCTCAGGATCTGTTCAGCTCTAAGTATTTCAAACATTTGGTTTTGGGTTATTTTTGGTCTAGAAGGTGGTGGAATTTCCCCTCATAAGTCAGTCTCTTCTGTGAGGGAGAAGTAGGAGAAGGGGAAATAAGTATTCTGGGGTTCCTCCATCAGCTTGCTTCCTTCCGCTGGTTCACATAGCTGGGGAAGGGGCAGTTTTTTCTGAGTTCTGATGGGGTCCCAGTTGAGCTGAGGGTCCCCAAAGGTCAACTGCTATCAGGCCTCCAAGTTCAAGGCAGAGTTCAAATGGGTACTGCTGGGCTTCCCAGCCCCATCCTGCCCCTTCTGCAACACAAAGTGTGGGAGCAGGTAAATATCAATGCCATGCTGCTTCTCAGCATTTACTGTCTTCTGGAAATACCCACCCTATTTTCTTGTGAGGGACCATCTCCCCCATCTCCACCCCACTCCAGCCCCAAACTGGGGATCAAACCCAGGGCCTTGCACAAACTGGGCAAGTGCTCTAACTCAATCCATCAGGTTTAAGTGGAGTGGACCCCAACTCCAACTTCAGCTCATGACCCCAGTCTTGCCAATCGGAGACACCATGACTGGTCAGGCTGTGACCCAGTGTGGACAAGAGAACTAGTCTTGGGACCAGCTACAACTATAGGGGAATTGGCAAGTTCTCTCCACTAGGGACAGTTAGGACAGTGGCATCTAAGCTGGAACTGTCACTCTCTGCTACTTCACGAGGTGACCCGGCATGGGAATGAAGCCAGTTCTGAGAAAATAAAATGAAGAGATGGTTCCTAATGACTTCATCTGACAACTGAAAGCAGCCATGCCTGAAGCCCCTGAACTCTTCAATTACATGGCCCAATAAATTCCCCGCTTTGCTTTCCCAGGGTGAATTGGGTTTCTGTCACTCACAACTCAAAGAATCTTGGCAAATACCTCCTCCTGCTGCTGAAAAATTATCAACAACCATTGCTCATTCTCATAATAATAACCAAACTCCCTTCTCTGCCATGCCTTGGGGCAATCCCCCCCTCAGATTTCCTCCCTTGATCCCCACCCCAAGCCTTAGTCCAATCCCCATGTCTCCAAATTCTCAGCTATCTGGGCAAGACCTGGGCCATCCTTAGATAACTTGGTGGTGTCTGAAGAGCATTTAAGCCTTGAAATTGGCCATTAATATTCCCTGAAATTTCTGCCTTATTCCTGGAGGGAGAAGGTGGTGCTTAGGTTGATGGGGCTTTACAAGCACCACAGGAGCTACATTTCTTGGCAGGGAATCAGAGCTCTTCTCTGCATGCGCATCCCCCATTTATCCCCCCTTCAGGGCCAGGAGTGAGCATGTGTTAATGTATCAGGCAAGTTCCTGCCCTCACTGGCTTCAAAATGCCAATCACCGCTGGGCGCAGTGGTGCACACCTATAATCCCAGTGATTCGGGAGGCTGACTCAGGAGGTTCACAAGTTCAAAGCCAGCTGCAGCAACTTAGAGAGTCCCTGTCCCAAATTAATAGAAAGGGCTAGGGATGTAGCTCATTGGTAAAGTGTCCATGGGTGAAATCCCTAGTTCCAGCCAGGCATGGTGGTGCACATTTATAATCCCAATGGCTCAGGAGGCGGAGGCAGGGGGATCATGAGTTCAAAGCCAGCCTCAGCAACTTAGTGAGGCCCTAAACAACTCAGGGAGACCTTGTCTTTAAATAAAATATTTAAAAAGGGCTAGGAATATGACTCAGTAGTTAAGTGCCTCTGGGTTTAATTCTTGGTAAAAAAAACCCAAAAAACAAAAAACCCTAGTACCTCCCCCAACAAAACAACAGCAACATCACTCAGACACACACACACACACACACACACACACAAATTCCCCATCACTAGGAAGTTTATGTGTTCCTGGATTATGTGTCCCCAATAAAAACCTTTAAGAACACAGGCTGGGGGTGTAGCAGAGTGGTAGAGTGCTTGCCTAGTATGCAGAAGGCCTTGGGTTCAAGCCCCAGCATAATATAAATAAACAACCCAGAGGGTCCTTACCTCCCAACATTCTTCTGAGGCCTGGAAGAGCTGAGAATAAGCTTCAGCAATGACTGCAGCCCTGAAGAGCAGAGGGAGGCTCTCAGGAGATCCTCCTCTGATGACCCCTCCCCCACCCCACCCCACCCCACCCCAACTCACTTGCAGTGCAGTCCTCCCCCAGGAGGCAAATCCAGGATGTCCTCCGAGGCCAGAGTCCTGAAAACTGTTCAGACTGGGGGGCTCCTGAGCAGAGACACACAGCTCTGAGAAGAGCTAAGGGTTATGGAGAGCCTCTGCTTGCCAATGCCCCTCCCATGGGGCGCTGGGTGCCTGCTCACCAGGTACTCTGCGGCCCAGGGCTGTATCCAGCGCATGCTCCCTCCTGATGGCCTCCTCACAAGCCCTGGGAGCCCCTGGGAAGCAAACCACGATGCAGGTCATGTTGTCCAGGCTGCCCTGGATAAAGTGGAGAAAAGGACACCGGTAGCATAGGGTTGAAGGCTACTGTGCAGAGTTTCAAGTCTTTAGAAGTCCTCCCCAGTCTAGATATGCCTGTGCCTCTCAAGTCTCACCCATCTGCCAGTCAAAACCAAGCCTTCTCCCACTTACACCAATCTCTCCCTGTCCTAGCCCCACCCTACTAAAAGAGAACCACACCTTTTATATGAAGTTCTTCAATCTTTTTTTCTTAATATTCATTTTTTTTAGTTTTAGGTGGACACAATATCTTTATTTTATTTTTATGTGGTGCTTAGAATCGAACCCTGTGCCTCAGGCATGCTAGGTGAGCATGCAACCAGTTGAGCCACATCCCCAGCCCCACGTGATTCTTAACTCCCTCCCACTTACCTGTCTAGCACTTCTCTCCCTTTGTTTTTTGTTATTTGTTTGTTGTATTGGTACTGGGGATTAGAGGCGCCTAACCACTGAGCCACATCCCCAACCCTTTTTATTTTTTATTTAGAGACAGGGCTTAGTTGCTTAGGGCTGGATAAATTGCCGAGACTGGCTTGGAACTTGTGATCCTTCTGCCTCAATTTCCTAAGCATCTGGGATTACAGGTTTGTGCCACCATCCCGGGCTCCCTTTGTATCTTAAACCATACCACAGGCTCTCCCCTCTCCGTATTTTGGCCCTGCGCATTCCAGCATACACGCCCTCTAGTTGTTCCCCAACCCCTGGTCTATTAAAATCCCTTCTCCCACAAATGCTGCAGATCTCCCCTATGTTCCAAGCCTCAGTGATACTATGCCCCGCCCCCAGGACCTGGCACAGACACGTGTCCAACAGCTGCGCGCAGAGAAGCTCTGGGGCCAGGTCCAAACGGAGGCGCGATGCCACCAGTCCCACCAGGGCAGCACCAGACGTAACGTCCCACACGCTGTCAGAGGCCAGGAGCACGAATTCGTCCTCAGTCTGGCGTGCCAGGGCAGCCACTTCAGGCTCCGCGGAAATTAGCTGCAGTTCGGGGGGCCTCCCCGGAGCCGCTTTGTTAGCAAAATCGCCTAGTGCTCGAGACACTGCCAGAGAGCCCTCGACGCGACGGCGACGGATGGTGCCGCCCGAGTTGTAGATGCGCTCGCGTTCCCGCGGCCGGAGGGGCCGGTGGTCTTGGGTGCCGAAGGCCACGGCGCCGGCGCGGCTCAGCACGGCGCGCGAGTCACCGCAGTGCGCCAGGTATAGAAAGCGCGGGGAGACCAGCAATACGACCGCAGTGGAGCCGCCGGGTTCGCCACGGGGCCAGAGCGAGCGGAGTCGCTCGTCGGCATTCAAGAAGGCTCGGCGCAGCGCCTGGCTCACGCCCTCGGGTTCGCTGGGCGCTGGGCCTAGCTCCTCGAGCACGTGGCCTGGCAGGTGGCGCGCGCCGAAGCGGGCAACTCGCGCCCCTCCGTGGCCGTCGAGGATAGCGAAGAAAGCCCAGCCAGGCGGCAGCCCAGGTAAGGAGAGCCAAGCGCAGTGCGAGTCCTCCATATGCGTTCGCCAACCCTGCGCTGCGCTGGCTCCGAAGCGCAGGCCGGACGATGCTGCCACACCCCCGTGTGGCCTCTGGGAGCATCGCGGCGCAGCCAGGAGAGACTGAGGCCCTTGGGCGCCAGCTTCCTCTTCCTTCTCTGCCTCTTCATCCTTGCGAGCCGGCCAGAGGAGACACTCCAGCAGACCTGCAAGGGCCGCCATCTCTTATCAGGAAGGCTTCACCCTCAGCACCTGACCCGCCCTCCCAACACACTGTTAGTCCCTCGCTGTGAGATTTTAAACCAAGTAAATCTCTTTCCTACTCCTTGACCTGCACCCAAGCCGCATCACTAAAAGAAATTCCATTCCTGGGACTACTTTCTCCAGCACCTCCAAAGTGGGGTTTGGGTTCTGGATCAGAAAAAAAAAAAAATGATAGCAGCACACTATTACACAGCACCGGCCATATTCGTTACACTATTATACATCAAGAAGAGGAAACTGAATCAGAAAATGTTCATCGGTGTCACAGAGAAATTAGCTCTAGAATCTGTGTTTTCGTGGGCTTCAAATCCCAGCCCGGTTCAATCCAAGCTCCGCCCACCTCAGTGGTCCCGCATCCAGCAAAACCTTTAAGTACAATATTTTACGGACTGCTGCCCTTCTGGACCCTTATCCAGGGGTCCAGTTGCTTTAACTTCCAGGTCCTGCCATCAATTCAAGCCCACTGCCTGAGTCTTCCAATTTTCGCAGTCCTGCCCCAAGACCTGTGTTCAATCCCCAGTACTGGAAGAAAAAAAGAGAGAGAGAGAAATCAATTTTCGCAGTCCTGGCATCGCCTCTAGCTCCTCAACTTCAGCCCACCCCTAAACTCCCGCTAGTCGAAACTGGCCCCTTCTCTCCAGGTTATGGCCACTCTCTTGTGCCTAGTCCCTCTAGGCCACGCCTCTAGCTGTGACCCCGCCCAATTTTTTGAATAGTCCTACAGGCTTTTGAGCTCCATCCTTTGCCTCGAAAGTTTCAGAGTACTTTCTTCCCGCCCTCTTTCTCATTCCCTCTGCAAACCTAGGTTCGGAGCATATCTCCGAGCGCTAGATTCTTTCTTCCCATTCTTCAGTGCTACCTCTAGACCCGCTCCAACCAACTCTGGGATCCACGCCCCGTCCTTTTCGCTTAAGCATTCTTTCGGGCCCCTCACCCTATCCCAGGCTCTGTCGCTCTTCCCCCGAAGGCTGAGCCCACTTCCACATAGACCCCGCCCCTTAGGCCTGCCATCTAACCTCCTAAGCCCGCCCCTCTAGTAAAAAGGCCTCGCCTCTCCCGTGTTCGTCGGTGTCTCCCCGCCCCCTCGCCCTCCCTCCGGTTCCGCCCCGCGGGTCCTCTGGCCCCGCCCCCGGTCCCGCGCTGCAGTGCCTTCCCCGCCGCGGCTCCGCCCGCCCTCGCCAAGCCGAGCAGAGGGCGGCGGCGGCGGCTGCTGGAGCAGCCCGGGAGGAGGAGGCGGCGAGGATGGCGGCGGTGGCGTGGGCGCGGCGGAGATGAGCGCCCGCGGCCCCGGGCCCAGGGCGGCGCTGCCGGAGTGGGCTGGGGTCCCGATGCAGGCCCGAGGGGGGCCATGGGGCAGGTCCTGCCGGTCTTCGCCCACTGCAGTGAGTAGGGAGGCTGTGGCCTGTTGTGGGTCTCAGAGGCCCGAGTGGGGTCCTCCTGATATCCCCTGGGCGCTGAGCCGCAGGAGAGCCGGGATGGAGGGAGGAGACGAAGGAGACAAAGGAAGCTCTCCCCTCCCCCCCTGCGCTCTGGCAGCCGCGGGGGCAGCCTGACCTGGAGAACCCGGGTGAAAAAGGGAGGAGATGGGGACACTGGACCCCGGCGCGCAGGGCACTAGGATGTGTCGCCCCGCCCAACCCTGGGATGAGGAGGTGCGCGGGGAGCTGTCCCCGGGCTCTGGTGCTGGCCGCAGCTGGCGGGGAGGGGGTTGAATAGAGGGGCAGAGCCAGGATGGAGAAGAGAGGTATGACTTCCCATTACCCACCCTTGTAGTCTACCCGAGAAGCAGCCCTAATCTAGCCCAAATTGTCCAATCCCCTGTCTCCGGAAAAGACATCCCTGGGTTAGTGCTAGGACTCTTGGGTGTTCAGCAGGCTTTTCCACTCATTAGTGGTAATCCTGGGGAAGACCCACTCAGCTCCAGGCCTCTGATTCTCCAGCCAAAGTTGCGGGGTGGGGGCAGGGGGCGTCCTGTTTCAATTTCCAAACCTTATGTGCAGACATCACCTGTGTGCAGAACCCCAACCCAGTTCCTAGGGGCTGGATTCCCAATTGAAAATGCTTGGTCTGATCTTCCTGATCTCTGAGTCCAGAGCTCTAGCAGTCCGTGTTTACCATCCTCTGTCCCACTCAGAAAAGGTTCTGACAGCTGGGGATGGCAACATTCTCAGACCTAGCCACTTGCATGTCTGGAGTGTCCAGATGCCCAAATTCTAAGAATTTCAGAGTCTCATCCCAACATTCTAAGATCTTGTTCTTATCTCGCATTATAAAGTGAGTGCCTGCTGGTTGGTCTGTTCCCCACCCCACCCCTGCTAGTCTTCCTGTCATCTCCTGCCCTTTCTCCCACTGATTTTGCTCCAGGCACACTGCTCCACTCATCATATATAAGCATAGCGCCTGCCTCAGGAACTTTGCACTAGCTTTCCCCTCTGCCTGGAAAGCTCTTCCTAGAGGTCCTCATGGCTTCCTTACTTCATTCAGGCCTCTGTTCAAATATCATCTTAACAGAGAAGGTTTTGGGACCATCTTATCTGAAACAGCACCACCTCTCCTTCTCTCCTATTACCCTGATTATTCTTCTTCACACACTTATTAAGACCCTATGTCATATATTTACTTATGTATTGTCTGCCTCTCCCATAGGATGTAACCTCTATGAGGGCAGGACTTTTGTTTTGCTCATAGATATATTCCCAGGGCCTAGAAGAGTGCCTGGCACATAGTAGGCACTCAGTAAATGGTTGTTTAAAGAGTAAATTGAAACCTCCCAAGATCCTTAAGTTGAAGATTCTAAGATTGAAATTCCTGGATAGGAACTTACTTGTTAGACTCTGAGCCTCTCATAGCAGTGATGCTAAGATTTTGCAGTCTATATGCAGAATGTCCTGATCCTGTGGCTCAAAATATTCTAAGATTCCTTAATTCAGATCATCCTAGATTCCAGGACTGGCACTTCTGTGATTCAGAGTTTATAAGCTTCCTAAGAGTCTTGATTTCTTTCTTCTTGCAGAAGAAGCTCCATCTACAGCCTCTTCTACCCCTGATTCCACAGAAGGTAAGTGGATGGGGGGATACGAGGGTGGGAACTGAAAGGGGCACCTGTGTAGGTCAGGATTCTGCTCACAGCCCTTCTTTGCCCAACAGGAGGAAACGACGACTCGGATTTTCGGGAGCTGCACACAGCCCGGGAATTCTCAGAGGATGAGGAGGAGGAGACCACGTCCCAGGACTGGGGTACCCCCCGGGAGCTGACCTTCTCCTACATCGCCTTCGATGGTGTGGTGGGCTCTGGGGGCCGTAGAGATTCAGCTGCCCGCCGCCCCCGGCCTCAGGGCCGTTCAGTCTCAGAACCACGAGACCTGCCCCCTCAGCCCGGCCTAGGAGACAGCTTGGAGAGCATCCCCAGCCTGAGCCAGTCCCCAGAGCCTGGACGCCGGGGTGATCCTGACACCGTACCTCCAACTGAACGCCCTCTGGAGGACCTGAGGCTCCGGCTGGACCAACTAGGCTGGGCTGCCAGGGGAGTGGGATCTGGGGAGGACTCTGCCACCAGCAGCTCCACCCCTCTGGAAGACGAGGAACCTGATGGATTAGAGGAGGGAGCGGCTAAGGAAGGTGAGATGTCCAAGTTGGACCTAAGCCAAGAGGGGTGGGTAGTCTCTTGGGGCACCTCCAAGGAGAATACTCACGACCTTCTCTCTCTACTGCGCCAGAACTGGACCTACAACGTGGATTTTCTCAGTCCTCGCCACCTGAGGTCTTGACCCCCCAGCCCAGCCCCAGCTGTAGGACACCTGAGGCTGGTACTCCATCCCAACCAGGATCCCCAGATTCCAACTCTGGGCCTGATGAGCCCTCGCTGGCCGAGGAAGAGGAGCCATGGGGACCACTGGAGCCAGTCTTGGGACAGTGTCTCCATAGCAGGGATCAATCAGAATTCACCCTGCAGCCACACATTCTAGGTAAGCAGTGTGTGAGCAGATGCTCCCTTGGACTACAGCAGGCTAAATGTGGGAGGGCTGGAAGTTAAAGGGGCCAACCTGGCAAAGGAACACAGGACAGTGGGGAAATTAGCATAATTTCCCCTTAGCTGAGATTACCATTGGCTCCTTTTATGTAGTTACCCGCCCATTCCAGAAGTTAGCCCTCCTTCAAGCATTAGGACTGACTGATTGCTAAAAATGAATCCTCCCTCTTTTGGACTCCCTACATGCCGATTGTGGACATGCCAAATCTCTGAAAATATAGGCTCTCTCCTGTATGCAATTATAGGATTTTTTTTTTCAAACCAGGGATTGAACCCAGAGGTGCTTAACACTGAGCCACATCCCCAGCCCGTTTAATTTTTTTATTTTGAAACAGGGTATTGCCAAGTTGCTCAGGGATTTGCTAAAGTACTTGCGATCCTCCTGCCTCAGCCTCCCAAGCCGCTGAGATTACAGGCAGGTGCCACCACACCCGGCTATGATATTTTTATAAGTAAATTCTACTCCTTTAAAAACTCTTCTCTTCCCTGACCACGTCTATAGACCACTTGTAAATAGACCCAGCCTTACTTTTAAATGTACTCTGCCTCCAGGAACCGCCACAGGTTGGTTGTAGACATCACTGTTCTAGGCTGTTTACAAAGAGTTCCAATTTTGGAATTGGCCACACCTCTATGGACAGCCATTGGCTTCTTACACAGGGGCTCCGCCCCTCTACTCCCTCCCTGCGGGTTCCACAAGTGGGCAAAATTTCTGAGAAGCAGTGGTGTCTGCAGCCTCTCCCTTAGAGTCAAGATGGGGAGTAAAGGTGGGTTTATGGGGCAGCCTGGGACTGGGGTTGGGGGACAGCGGAAAGGGTACAGATGTGCCCTGGTCTCGCCCCAGTCTGGGGCAAGTTTCCTATTGGTCCGGAATTCCCCGGCATTGCAAGCTGGGGCTGGGGGGAGTCAGGGGGAGTCTAGGGAGGTC